CCCCAAAACCCCAAAACCCCAAAACCCCAAAACCCCTTAATAAATCAAGGTGATTGCAAGTGAAATAATAAAATAAATTGTCAAACATGGGAAACATTGAATGAATCACAAATTCTAAAGCAGACGAGCATGATGATAAGACAAGGGACAATCAGTCCTTTGCTGCTCTGACCAATGACTTAATAGAGAACCTTGGTGTGGACCCGCAACCCTCTTCTCCAAAATCCCCCAAAATTAAGAAGACAAAGCAGAAAAAGAAGATGAAGCTTGTTAAAAGTAGCACAGTTAATTTTAATCACATTGAGAAGAATAAAACTTTAAGAAGAAAGAAAGTGAGTAGTCCGAAGAAGATGTTTAGTGCCCCTTCTGAGAAGAAGGGTGATATTACTGAACTACTGGTTGCAGAATTTGCTCAGAGAAAGAGAGAATTGCGAGACAAATTGTCAGCAAAGACAATAAAACTTCACCGTAAAAATTGCAGGAATATCTCTGAGTGCGATTTTTCTCAGGGTTAGCAAGAAATAGCTACCAATAACTAACTTGTATTAAGATATCAGTTTTAAAGCCATTTTATGGAAAATGCTGGCTTTGTCATATTTGAAAGAAGCTAGAAGTGTTATTCCCTCGTGAAGGAAAAATTCATCATGTTAATTCATCAGAATTTTTGGAAAATATTTTTAATTTATTTAGCAAAATAGGATATTAGAACAATAGTTCCAAGATGAATGTGATAAACAAGACGTCGTGAGGAAAATTCTTCCTTCTGAAATTTTCATAATTTATAAAGTATGGCCGGTTTTCAATACTTGAGGGTTTTTACAAACCAAGTAAATTTTGCTTCCCATCCTAATTAATTGAGTTAATAAAGTATTTTTCATGAGAAGTGAGCAAGTAAGCACTTCTCATCACCGATACGATATTTAAAGCTAATTGAACTGTCAGAGTTCCCGTAGGACATGTACAAATTTGCAGACTATCATGTTGAAATGTAAGGCTTCCTCAGGTCTCTTCTATTTCTTCTTGTCAATAAAGTCTAGCCATACTGCGCCATATTAGAATCCCTTCAGATCTTAAGCAAGCCCTGAAATTCGAGATTATAGGAGTAACTATGAAAACAATTTGTGAATTTTGACCATTCAAGAACTGAGTCTTCAGTAATTTTTTATGAACATTTGCTTCATTACAAATTTATGGGAATAAAATCTTCCTCACAGTGGGATTTCCTCATATTATTTTACAGCTATATAGTTACTAACATGTAGCCATTATTCTAGAATAGAGGAAGAAACTGAACATGAGACTTCCTGAAATCTAATATTGTAACTGTAAAAATCAGCCAGAATTATAAGAGATGTCTCTTACTTAGTTCATAGATAGGAAAAAGGACGAGTATGATATTGAATTGTTTTACAGATAAAATTATAGCGCATTAAGCCAAGTTAATTAGCAACCATCAGAAATAACTTATGAGCCTCTTTAGGCATCATCTTCAGTTCAAATCTAGTCTTGATAAGCTACAAGAGAGATGACTAGCCCTGATTGTTTTTAAGGTAATTTCAACATGGAAATATTATAAAGGGGTTTTGGGGTTTTGGGGTTTTGGGGTTTTGGGG